CTGCCAAAAGGCTCAGTCCCAAATGCCTCAGCTGGCAGGGACTCCCGCCTTCTGGGACGTGCAGAAGTGACTGCATTTTCTTTTTATGGTGATGAGATAGGCGTAACATAAAACGTACCGTTTTAACCATGTTTAAGCTTAGGGTTCGGTGGTATGAAGTACAGTGACATTGTGTGACCATCACCACCACTGATCTCCGGAACTTTTCATCTTCCCAAACTGAAACTCCGTCCCCAGTGAACACCAGCTCCCTGTGCCCCTGGCTGCAGCGCCTGGCAGCCACTTCTCTGCTTTGTGTCTCTGCATGCAGGAGCCCACCTTCTGTGACCAGCTCATTCACTTGGTGTGATGTCTTCCAGGTCTGACCATGGTTGTAGCACGTGTGGGAGTTTCATGCCTGTTTAAGCCGAACTAATCGGAAAGCTGGTTTTGTGACCTTTGGGCCAACACCCACGTGGAAGGACTTGGACACTGGGGAGAGGCTTTATTTGGGGAGATTTTATGGCCTGGTGTGAATGCCCTTTTCCTCTGCCAAACCTTGGGTGACATCTTGAGAGAAGAGAGGGAGGTGTTTCTTCCCGGCCAAGGGCAGGAGCTGCAGGAGGACCACACAGCAAGCTCTGTGCTGTCTGCTGTTAAGAGAACTCGTGGTCTGGAGTCAGGCTTGCTCTTGAAAGACCTATAGGCTGGTGGAAACAACCTAGGGCAGCAGGGAGCCGGCATTGTCTGGGAGACTAGGTGCCGGCCTACCAAAGCTGGACTTGCCGAGGAAGCGAATGAGAGTAGAATTCTGAATTTCTTTTATTTTATTCTTTTTTAGTATTTTCAAATTGTTCTATTGTAGTTGTACATATTTGGGAGTACATGTGATATTTTGATAGATGTCTACAGCGTACAGTGATCAAGTCAGGGTGATGGGGACCCGTCACCGCAGACATTTCTCTTTTTCTTTGTGTTGGGAGCATTACGGTTCTTGTGGCTCTTTTCTAATGTCAACTGGATGCTGCATATTAAATGAGATGCTGTAATGGCAAGTCCATTTTAAAGCAGCTAATTCACAATTTGAAAATTGAAGCACCAGGCCAATTGTGATGGCTCACACCTGTAATACTAGCAGTCTAAGAGGCTGAGGCGGGAGGATCCCATGAGATCAGGAATTTGAGACCAGCCTGAGCAAGATCGAGACCCCATCTTTACTACAAATAGAAAAACTAGCCAGGCTTGTGGCGGGCACGTGTAATCCCAGCTACTCAGGAGGTGGAGGCAGGAAGATGGCTTGAGCCCAGGAGTTTGAGGTTACTGTGAGCTATGACACCACATTGCTCTACCCAGAGCAACAGAGTGAGCCTCTGTCTCAAAAAAAAAAGAAAAGAAAGAAAAAAAAGAAAGAAAAAGGAAGCACCAACACAATACACTAAACTTCAACAATATAACTTCAAAAGCAGAACTCACACCCTCACTGAAGATGGGTCGGAGGTGTATGTTAGTCCTATACCAGGTGTAGGATCGACAAGACGGATGGCCGGGGCTTGGCCATCTTCTCATCTGGAGGGATGAAGAGATCACAGGTGAAAAATGCTAGAGGTGGGTGGCACCTGTGTCTCCAAGGAGTAGGGCACCAGCCCCATATGCTGGAGGTGGCAGGTTCAAACCCAGCCCCAGCCAAAAAAAAAAGAAAAACAAACAAAAAAAGAACGCTAGAGGTGTTGGGTGGCTGGCTAGCCACTCAGGGAACTGTTTGTTATAAGCAGCCAGCAGGACAACAGATCACCCATCAGGAAAGTGCAGGTGAGAGGTCTTCTGCCATGAGGGTCTGCAAAGAACCAAGGGAACATTCCATGTGCACCATAAGAACACTCCATAAAATAGAAAGCAGCCTTGAGTTCCTAGCATGCCCAGGGATGACCGACTTCAGGTCACACCAGTAACAGTCAGAAAGGACTTGTCTGGTTCCCTGGCCTCTCCTCGCCATCCCCCAGCCCACTAACTACTGAGCTGGGAGTGCGGCCCACCAAGAGCAGACCCCTCCAAGTCCCACCTTTCCCACCTCAGGCTTCTCCATAGCAACAGGCCCATGCTGGGGATGAGAAGTCTCCAATGGGAGTGACATTTGGGGCCTCGATTTTACACTGGGCAGGGAATATTAATTTTGGAAGTGGGAGCATTTGGGGCATACAGTGATTTGGAGAGCATTTTATCACATAACAACGAATCAAAAAAATCTGTAGCCCTGCCCAAATTTTCATTCAACGGCAGCAGAAGAATGAGCCCCACAGGATAGGTTTCTAGGGATATAAAGTTACCTGCAGATCCTGCTTGTTGCTCATGACAGTTTTGCAAGCAGATGTTTCAAGGGGTGGTGAAGTCCGATACCCACAGGAGGCAGAGGGGTGCTGGCTGCTGTGTGCTGCCTCCTTGCAGTACAAGTCATGATTTGAGGTTGGTGGGAAGCAGAACCTGGGACTCCACCATACTACAATCTAAGTAAAACAAAAGCAGTTATTTCACTTCTCTTAAGGGAACGTGACCCAAGACAGCAGCAGGTGAAGCTTTTTATTTTTTGAAAATACCTCTCCTGGCGAAGCAGTTTGGTAGGGGCCATCCTACAGTTCTGAGGTTGACAGATGTTTTCTGATAACCTCAAAGATCATAAACCTAAAGTTGTCAGATCAGAGGAAAACCAACAAGTAGAGACAGCCTTTTTCAAAGAACTTTGCAATAAAAGGAAGCTGTTAGATTAGGGTTGAAACTAGACCGTGATCTATGGTTGTGCATGAGAGGATCGATGGTGGTGTTTGTTTTTTAAGCTGAAATACTGACTTGTCCTTTTACACTAATGGGAAAGATCCAATATTGAGGAGAAAGTTGATGATTGAGAGGAAAGCTAAGAAACTTGCAGGAGAGAAGCTGTTGATTTTCAAGAACATGGGATTCAGCGTCAGCCAGTGGGATTTGCCATAACCAACAGCTCAGACAGCTCATCGTCCTCCCCTTTCCAGGAGGACAGCGTAGGAGAAGAGATACAAACAGATTAGTAGATTTCCTGGTCTGAGCCCGTGGAAATCAGAATGTTCCACTCCTCTGCATGATACACTTGATACTGGTATCAACATTTTATGGATCATGTAATTGTTGAATAGACCTAAACTTACCCCAGAATAAAATTTAGAACTTATTATTTGTCCCTTTATTCTACAAGTAGTGGACAAGAAACAAAATGCTTCTAAATTGGTGCTCCTAGCTATTGGGGGTATTTATTCATTCTCTCGGCAATTGTCCACCAACACCTGTATTTGCTGGCTATGGTGATAGGTGTTACGGACAAAGAGATGAGTCAGGCTGGTCATCCATAAAGAGTGAAGGCCAATTTGGAGGGGGCATAAACAAGCATGAATAAATGAATACAGCAGTTTTTTTTTAGTTGCTCATTACAAGCAGAAAGTGATGATCTTTCCATTGACCAGGCGTTATTGAAAAGATACAGAGAACATAGAAGGTCAGGGAACCAGACCCGGAAAATAAGTGTGCCCCTGGGGTATCTCCAAAATGCCAGGGATCCTGAGATACAATGGTCAGTAACACCAGGACCCACGGCCACCAACAGAGAGGCCGCAGCCGCACTGGCTACCTGCCATAGCTCTTCCTGGCAGGATGAGGGTGATACCCACACGGCCACGTTCCAAGCTCAGAGGATTTTCCCATTTGTTCTCAACTGAGTCTTTTGCAGGCCATTGCACATTGCAAAAGGTCAGAGATTTTTAGTTGATGGGAGCACCCTAAGATCAGTATTAAGGCTTTATGTATACTTCTTTCACTAGAAAGTGAATTTCTTGCTCAGAAGCAATGTTGT